CCCCGTAACCCGCCATCTCCCTCTGCCCCCCCCTTCGCAATGCTGCCAGCGATGCGCTCCGCTTCGACCAGGAGTCGATCTTCAGCTCTAGAGGTCATCTCGAAAGAGAGTGCTGCTACTTGACAGAACCTGCTGTCTTTGGTCACGCCATATTCCTGGAATATGATAGTGTGCGGAGTTGAAACAAATCGACACTCGTCTTTGTTGATGACAGAGGCTTCTCTCACCCATTCTTTGGTGATTCCCGAGAATCACCGAGAATTGCAAGCAAAACATGAAACTCGACGAAAAGTATATCTCTTACCTGTCGCAGCTCCTCTAGCACTGATTCTTCAACGCCGCTCTCCTCGAAATCAACTCGCGAACTATTGACGACCTCGTCAATGATAGCTTGGTAGACGTTTCCAACGGCTGGGTTCGACATGATTTTATGAACGTAGTCCGGTCGGTGGGTTTGATTGGGATATGAGAAGAGGTGGATCCTCAATTGTTGAGTCGCTGAGATGGCGTCGTCAAGCAGGTGTGCTCGATGGCAGTTCTTTATACACGGATGACCTTGGCTCTGGGGAACGCAAGGTACAGCTCGCTATAAGCAGCGCAATCCTGTTCTTCAGAAGAGACCTGAAAGGGGCCTACTGAGGAAGAGATATTGTAGTGCGAATGTTGTTGCTGAGGTAGTTGAGAAATGCGCTTGATGTCGATAGACGTAAATTCGGCACTTAGCCACGGCGATGCGATGCGCCTAGCTAGGCGAGGCTCTTAAATGATGAAAGAATTGATTTCAACTGCAATGCGAAGCAAAGATGCTTCCAACGAAAGATCAGGAGAAGCAAGAGACAAATCAGTATCAATTAATTTACTGCGTCACACGGATGCAAAACACCGAAGAGGGTCTTGTGCCAGGTCGGGGTGTTGTGCGGCTTTGTGATGTGATGTGCAGTGGGGAGAGTTGGTAGCCTCTGGGAGATTTCTGTTTCATCAACTGCTAGCTACCGTAGGCTGACTCAGCACTCCAATTCTAACCCCAGCGGCCACTGGGCTTTCCAGTCCACTGAGAGGCTCCGCTCACAGGGCTGATTGAGAATGAATGTAACCTAGATAGGTACCTCACAGATTTATCGTTGATTGTGGGAGCTTCTGGGTAAAAACTTTTGTCTGGAGGAAATGATCGTGTTCTCATTCATCACCTGTGTTCGCAGCCTAAAGCTTAACCTTATAAGCGGCAGTCATTCCATGGTAACCTACCTCATTGCGACCCATCTCTCTATCATTGTCACAGCTCAGATGATATCAAATTCGTAGGTAGGCCTCGGAAAGGAAGTGGATTGGAACAACTGGGATGTAAAAATCAATTCTAAGTTCAGGCTTTACTACACTGAAGCTGGCAAAAGACTTCTTTCACTTGTAGATAATTGTTTTACGTCTCCTTCACTCCAGCTACATCCTCAGTGATCTTTAGCTTCAAACGCAAACCTCAGCGAGATATCAGGAGTGCCATGTAACATGCATCATTCACCCGGCCTTGTATTCACTGTTTTCTCCATCTTTGGAAACACAACTACTCCCTATCGTTCCCTTCCTTGATAGATCATTCATCTGTTTTTCATACTCATTTATATGTTGTGTATGTATCTGACATCGCCGTCGATCATGCCACCAGTCGTCTCAGTGGGTGTGCCTCGGTATTAAATACATATTCGTCCAGGCTGATCAGCTCTGGGTCACTGAAAATGAGATAAAAGTACTTGAGGGTTTCACCCATCCAGAAAGACTCCATCGAGTCCACAGCGCGGGGTTTCTCCTCTGTAACAGTGATATCCCACACAGCTGTATTGGCCAGCTCTGTCTTAGTCACTTCTTCAATTGATTTGAACATAGTCCAGGCGTGCTCGGTATACTCGTTCTCGCCGGTGACCCGATACATCATGAAAACACTCTCAATAGCTTCTGGGCGCAGGATATATCGGCGATCGGGAATATGAGTAAACCCGCCGGGCAGATGCTCGTCTTTGATAATAGCATCCGCCTGTGCTGTCTCACCTTCCTTGATCTTTGCCTGCTTAAGGACACCTTCTTTCCACAGCTTTTCGTCCCATGGGCAATGCTCCTTGGAGTCACAGGGAACCATGTAGAAGGTCTCAGGCATGATGCCATGAGGAAATGCTTCATAGGTGTAGATGCAGCCATTGGTAAGTTTGACTGCAGTGTCGACGTCCTGCTGGCGGTTGAAGAGTCGTCCACCCAATGCCAGCATGCCTCCAAGAAAACAGACTAGATGCTGCCCCTGGCTCTCAAGTTCCAACTGTATCTTTCCACCTTTGTCTTTGGCATGCACTTGTCCAGATATGAGAATATCTTTGTTCTCAGGTGTCATCGGTCGAAACAAATTGTGTTCTAATGCTGCATCCACGGCCTTCTCATACATGGTTTGATAAACAGGCAGTTGTCCACCTGTTAGTGCAGCCATCTTGGGCAGGTATTCGTAAACGCTGTCGGCCATTGCACCTAGGGTGAAAACCGATCCTTGGTTGAAGATCTGGCTCTTTGCATCCACGATCAGAGGCCACTGTCCAGGGAGCATGGTCGAATCTTGCTGTGCCGCCAGGAGATCCATGATAGTCTGTGAGGCGTCAAACCACTTGGCATCTCCCGTGAGTTGCGAGAGGCGTGTAAGCTCAATACACAAGCTTCCAATCTCTGCAACGAGGACGCCGGCGCCGGCAATCTGATTTTTGCCCTCGCCGGCAGCGTGAAAATTCCAACGCAAGACAGGCATGTGATTGGGTGTGTCAAAAGCCTTGTAAATCATTTCACCAACCTGAACTGCCTTACGAAGCAAACGCATATCCTCACTAAGCTCAAAGGCGGCGAGAAAGCCACCGAGATAACGAATAGTAGTCTCAAAGATATTGACTTCCTTGAGATCTGTGGCTGTGAAGTCAATCTTGTCGACTGCATCCACGGCTTCGTAGAATTCTTGGTGCATATCCATGATCCAAAGGGTATCAAGGGAGTCAACGAGAGTAGCGGCCCAGCCGCCGAATGGATTTGCCTGTCCAGCCGAGACGGGACTGAGCTCGTCTGCCATCCAGGCATGCTTTCTGTAAGAATTCCAACATCTTGTGAAGGTCGCCTTGACAGCTTGCTGACGCTCGCGTCGCAGTTCAGCAGTACTAATGGAGAATTCAGGGAACGTGGCTTGGACCTTGGGATAGGTGACAGGAGGAGAAGTGGGCAGTGATTGGAAGGCGGAGTGAGGATAGTTGACTTTAACGGTGTTCCAGTAATAGTTGTCATCCTGGTCTTGCCTCCACAGCGAAGTCTTTACGGGCCAGCCGTGCTTCTGGTTGTGGTTGTAAGGGCCGTGTCCATATCGGGGTCCAACGTATTCAGGGGTCCTACCAGCCCAATAGCAGAAGAGGATCACTGTCGATAGGCCGCAAACTAAAACGAGACCTCGACTGCGGAGGAGCATGGTAGAAATATGGGCCCGAACCGCGTTGAGTGTCGAAAGGAACAGAGAAAAAGGGTTTCGAGATGTTGCAAAGAGAGTTGTCTCTCTCCTCTTTCTTTGGTGAGGTAAGGGAGAGGTAGAGATACCTAAGGGAAACTAATCTTATCCAAGGCTCTTTGTCTTACCTTATCTTTGATTTGACGCGCTGAGGTTGGTAATAAAACAGCTTGGCATTTGTACCATGCAATTTGCCCCGCCAAGCAATGGCGGTATGTATCTTATACCTTGATTCAGGTAGAGGGTACCTTGCTTTATTAAGGTACCTTAGCTCGGCGAATTTCGACCAAATGTGAGCGACACTACCAGAAGGACCAACACACAGTTAATGTATATTTGAACACTGTACATCCCACGCTGAAACCTCTTCTTAATACAGTGTCGATTGTTTAAGTGCCTGATAAACATCATCCACAAAATCAACTCAGAATGAAACTGGTTCAGCACACTATATGATACTCTTATTGAAATTCTCTCCGCTACAACACTGTAAAATACTTTTCTGAAAAGTGGGTTCTGTTGCTCTACTTCTGCTGTGGTTAAAATGTGACTCTGCTGTTTCTGGCAGGATCTTTTGTCGTTTTTCTCTTCACATTCTTCCAGAGTGAGACATGCCAAATTCTTTCTTCATCTGGTAGTTACTATTTCCTTTTACGACCTTTGTTTCGATGGAACCAGAGGCATGTGCTAATCCTCGGCAGTGTTCACGGAGCTTGACAGCCCTTGTTCGGGTAACACGACCCTTCCATCTGCATGACGGACATCTATCGGGGCGAACAAAGGAGAGCTTAGCAGGGGGGCTCGCTACGTGAGCCGTAGTATAAGACCGACCTGGCGGAGGAACTTGTAAACCCTTGGCCATCCATCTATCTGCCAGGCCTCAAGGGCCAAAAGATGAATTGTTGAATCATTTCATCAATTATACACATTCTAGACCTAAAACTTCGAGATGAGCTGCACCATAGTAGTCCTCAAACTTATCATTAACATATAATATGATGACAAAGAAACTTCAGGGGCTAGTTGTATTTCATCGTAAACATATTATCCATCATTCTCTTGCACAGTGGAACGGAACTCCTGTAGTACTTGACATTATGAAGCTGGAGGTAATTCATGTCAGCTGCCATGACTAAGAAGTACATCAGCTCAAGAATGAATAACAGTGTCTGATGGCATTAAGTTGCCGATTCCATCATGCCATCTTGAGCTACCAGCAAATGCAAGACTCAGCTCAGCAGAAGACCCAGCTACAGAGCTGTCCGTTCTACGTGCAGTCACTCCAATATGACCCAGAAGTTGTTCGAAGCTGCCATGCCTCTTTCGTCTGACACTCAGGCAGATGTTCCTTAGCACTTGATTCTTTCACTACTTGATTTGAGATAAGAAAACGTCTATAGATTACTGCTTCTGCGTTTTTACAATCAGCAGAGCGTATGGCTCTTCTTAGCTGCCAACCTTTACTTGATATTTTGCGACAACGTGGGTAAAACTGTTCGGCCAGATGTGACTACGAGTACGCCCTCGTCAAAGGTCCTAAAGAATACAGTGCCTATAGCGGTAAACTGGTAAATGCCTAGGTGTTTTTGATCCCAGACGCGCCGCTTGGACCCTATTTGGGGGACACGCTTGCTGGCGGATCCTTGTTTAACATCCTCCATCTCACTATTTTGGGTAAGGTATACTTGTTTGAACAAGCTACAGCATGGACCTGCCCGTATGAGCTATCCGTACTATAGTGCCCCTTGGGCCAAGCCATAGGTGGTGTATGAAGCGTCTCACTATATAGAAATATAGAGATAAAGCTGAAAGATGCTGGGAAACATACAGACTTGGAAATAAAAACCACACCGCTACGATAGTTCTCAATGATTACCAGTACGATAGAGATTACGAGATGATACTCGTGAGCCATAAGAAAGAAATCACTCACCTAATCCCACATATTTGGAAAGTTGCCGTAGCCATAATCTACCATTTTACAGCCAGCCAGTGCTTAGTGAGAATTTGGAAGAATCTCGACGGCACATGTTATCCAGCTAGTAAGAAGGAGAGACTTTAAAGGTGCTATAACAAGAAAAGCAACGAGGTCTCTTGGTACTGGTTAAGACAACTGTATGAGAGGAGGATTGACTGGGTCAGTGATGACTTGTTCCTTACCTAATGACTTGACGGGACGAGGGTTGAAGCTACCAGTAGGTCTCTTATATATGGAACTCACATAAACATGGACGTTAGTGTAACAAGCTGGAGCGCATTTAATGGTAAGACATTCAGCTATAGTGAGCGCCGAGGTACTTACTTATCACATGATCAAATTGGTCTTGTAGTACAATGACAGTCGGAAGAGTATCTGACGTTCAACGATTTAAATAATGCTCATGGCATCTAATTTTCATTTTGATTTCATTCTAATTCCAATTCCTATCCGATCACTATGCATAAAAGCAGATCCCAAACACCCCTAATAATTAATACAAGAAGTCCACCATCAAAGCGACTTCATACTCAGAACTTCCAAGACCGTTATGATGCAATGATGCGTCTATCGTAATTTCATGACCATTCCGTTTCGTTCGTCTCTGCGTGGAGAAGCACTTTCATACCACGAGCAGAAGGGCAGGCGGGACACCCCAACTCCGTGCTTCAAATACAGAGACCCAGATACTAGTGAAAGGTCATACCTACCGTGATCCAGTGGATACTGGCACTTATCGGATGGTCATCTGCTTGGCCATGGAGGCCTTGCTCGACGCGCCAGAGGCACCAATGCCGGCGGTGGCACCAGCCTTCTTCTCAAAGATCTTCCAAAACTTGAGACTCTCGTCAGCAGCTAGAGGGTTTGTTAGCATACTGCTAGTTACGGTTTGAGTGTGTGGACTTACCAGCTGTCGCAAGCATCTGGCCGTCAGGGCTCAGGCAGCTGTGGAGGACTCGGCTCTCGTGGGCGGGGATCTCAACCGTACGGACAAGGGTGGGGTAGCTCCAGATGCTGAGAGAGTTGTCAGGGAAACCACTTGAGCTGACGATCTCGCGATGGTGGGGACTCCAGCGAAGAGAAGTGACTTGAGAGCCGGTGTCGATGCTGTTGACGCGAGCACCCGAGGTGGAATTCCAGAAGTGAATGTGACGGTCGTAAGAGCCGCCACCAGTAGCGAGGAGGTTCATGTTCCAAGGGCACCAAGAGAGGGCCTTGACAGCAGCCTTGTGGTTGGTCTTGGTGAACTTAGGAACGGATAGAGATCGGGCATCCCAAATGGAGACAAGGTTGTCGTTGCCGCCAGTAGCGAGCTGTGCGCCATCAGAGCGCCACTCAAGGCCGCAGACCTCGGATGTATGGGAGACGAGCTCAGCAACTTTGTGCTCGGCAATGCGAACGTCGTGGTTGTAGACAAGGCCGCTACGAGCACCAGTAGAGAGAAGGTGCTTGTTCCATCCCATGACACCAACACGTGTATCATGGCCGAACATGCTTCGAATCTTCTGGCCCTCTGCAACGTCCCAGATCTGGACCTCGCCAGTTCCCATGCCAACACTGACATAGGCTCCATCACCAGACCACTTGACGCTGCTGACATATGTGTCAGGGGTGGTCTCAAGGAGACAGCTAACGCTACCTTCATCGGCAGACCAGACGTAGACATTGCGCTCGAGACCGATAGCAACCTGGTTACCAGAGCTCCAATCGAGAAGGTTGAGGTAGTAGTCGTCCACCAGGCCAGGAGCATCAAGGACACGCTCAGGGGCAGTAGCAATGCGGCGGCGGAGCTGGGCCGAGCTGGAAGTAGTAGACTTGAGAGGGCGGTTATACTGTTGTCGCAGGTCAATTGGCTTGGAAGACTCCGGGGCAGCAGGCTTGAACTCGAGGATGCGAGTGTTTAGGCTGACACCACAGGCGTTGGCAAGAGAATCTTGGTAAGCCACGGTGTTGGGGGAGGGTCGAGAATAGTTGTCAGGCTCATCATCGTTGATGTTGAGGCTCTCGAGAGCAGCCAGGGCTTCGTCAGCAGCAGTAGATAGGACAGTAGAGCTCTCGGAGCTGCTGCTCTTTGGGCGTTGCCTATCGGCGAGGTCGAGCTTGCCAGAACCAGCGTTGGAAATTGCAGAACTTGCGCCACGGTTGGGGATAAATCGGTCGCCACCATAGTTCAGAGTAGTCTTAGCAGTTTTGGAGCGGAGGCTCTTCTTGGACTTTGTGCTTGAAGGGGTCTTGGTGGTGTTGCCAGTGCCAGTGAGAGTAAAATCAGAGACGCCAAGCTCAAGAGCCTTCCGGGGAGTCTGAACTCCACGGGCGATGTTGGACTTGGGGGAGTCACGGTGAGAGGACTTTGTGGTGGATCGAGCAAGGTGAGACATGAGGTTACCGCCATATGTAGAGCGCCCGGATGGTCTGAACTCGTTGCTAGACTGTCTTTCGGGGGTAAATGGGGAAGAGTTCAGGTTGACGGGGACGTTCGTGGTGGATGACTGTTGGCGGGGAGAGGGAGTCAAAGGCATGCGCCCACCAGCGGTGCGCGCTGAGAAAAGTCCCTTATGGGACTTTACAGGCGTCGACAATGCTACAGAAGCCATTATGAATTTTGTGATATGATGACCTGTGTGTCAAACTAGGTAGAGATAGTCGAAGAGCGTGTAAGTGGAGCTCTAGACGAGTGACCACAGCTGGACAGTATATCGAGCCTTGATGCTATCGAATGACGTCCGATGAAGGGCTCCTAGTAATTAGTATACCTGTTCTGAGATCAATGATCGATAAAAATCGAGGCTGTCTTCACAAAGATATAACGAAGTTGAGGGGCGATCAAATAGCCTTGGCGATAGGATCTATCAAGCTTTGATGTTTCTTGTAAGAAGCGTTTGAAGAGAGGTTGATAGAAGAGCACTTGGCTATAGCGAAGAATTAAAGTGATTGAGGAGGAGAGCGAGTTGTAGATGGTGATCATGAAGGGAGAATCATTCACAAGCTGGAGCTCATGACAGTTACCTTTTATTTACTTATGCCCCTCCGAGCTTCTGGCCCGGCAACCATTAAACCTGTAGTCGGACCTGAGTTGCTCCCGTTCCGCGACCCTGCCAACGTAGACGAGCCAATTAGATTACGCAAACATAGCGCCTCATCAGCCTCATCCTTGCCTGGCGCGAATGACCAAATTTCTCTTAGTAGACGCGGCTCCAAAAGGCCAGGGGGACTTTTTCTCTTTGTCTGTTGCATCACCGGCCGCATTTAACACCATCCACTCTTACATCCACTTTCTTCACCGACCTGACAGACGGCTCAACCACGAGAACGTGACTTTGTTCATTGTGTGTAGTCGTTTCTTGTGCTCAGCCTTTGTCCCTCTTTTTCTCCGACCATCCAGTTTCAGCGGCAGCACAACGTTGTGAAATGTCCAGCCAACGCCACTGATCGCTCGTCGAATTTACAATTTAAGCCATGGCTCAACCTTCAACCCCCGGACAATCTATCTTTGGCGGGCCTACCCCTGTCGTCGGAATAACACAAGCCTTAGGTGCTGTCAGCCAGACTTCGTCGACCTCGAATTCGGTTCAACCGGCGCCGACGCCGCCTTCGGCCACTTCGTCGTCTAACAATACCTACATCATGCCAAATTCCCCTGCAAAGGGTCGCAGCGTCGCCGATGGATACCGACCCAAAGTCACCCGCACGCTAGGCCAGAGACCCGCTTGCCTAGTAAATGCTTCAGTGACGTATTGTGGGAATAATCAAATATATGCTTTTGGAGGATTCGACCAATATACCGATGAGGTTTATAATCACGTGCTGAGGCTGGACCTCGTCAGCCATCAATGGAGTCTTGTCGACAACTATGGTGATATTCCAGGAGTTCGGATGGGTAAGCCACGCAGGAAACCACCACACTACAGCTGCTAACATTGTCCAGGACACACTGCCACCTTGTATCAGGGAAACAAACTCTTAGTCTTTGGCGGCGAGAACGAACATCGAACATACCTCTCGGACCTTATTGTCTTTGACCTCAAGACTGCCCACTGGACTCAGCCACAAGTCTCAGGCCCGATCCCGAAAGGTAGAGCGAGACATGCTGCTGTCTTACATGAGGACAAGCTCTTCATCATTGGCGGCATAACTGGCCAGAACAACTATGTGTTGGATGACATTTGTTACCTCGATTTGAAGACTTTTACCTGGTCCAAGTCTTGGCGATTTGTTGGTCGTTTCGACCACTCGGCTTATATCTGGGGCGACCGAGTCTGGGTATTTGGAGGTCTGAGCGAGGACATGGACAAGATCAGCGATCTGTGGTGGTTAGATCTGAAAGGAAACCCGCAATTTGATTCTCGACCTCAAATAGGTATCTTCGATCGAGGTTCACTGTCTACTCGAGCTAGTAGCTCTCCCCGGCCTCCATACACCATGGCCCAGGCTCCTGTCGTAGGGGCTTCTGGCTACGCCGCCAACTCTCGCACAGCTCAAGTCAATCCACCTTCAATTCAAATGAAGACATACGCGCCTGTGGCCCCGGGGTCTATATCTGCTCTCAAATTCATGTCTGGTCCCTCAATTCCCTCTCAGGGCTCTGGTCTTCACTTTCATGCCTACTCTTCGGGTACCCTTCTCGATTTTGTCACACCTGCGGCGACTCTTACGTCGAGAGAATGTTCTTTATCAGCCCTGGATCTTGGCACGCTTCGCTGGACGAAGCTTGCCGGAGGGCGGGAGATCTTCAAAGCGGGTTACAGGTGGCATTACTGCTGTATGAATGAGGATGGCACCAAATCTTGGTTACTAGGATGTCCAACTGACCCTGCTCCGGGCGACATAGGGCCCAATGGCTATGAAGAATATCTTAGGTAAGGTCGGTTTTGTTTCAAAACTTGATCCTGTGGCTGACATGATTTGACAGCGATATTATGGAAATCGACCTGCGACGGTATGGCTTCCTAGGCGATAATTTGACACCAGAACCAAGGGTAGAGTCAAGGCCATCTGCTATGACAAGAGCCGTGGATCAACCTTCTAAAGGATTAGGTTCAGATCTAGCAAAGCTCTTCAACCAGCCACCTGAGACAGGCAGCGGAACTGATTTTGTCGTTACTGCGCTGGCTGGTGATTACGATGACGATGAGGCTCTGAGCTCTGGTCTGATTCGAAATGATGAGACAACACCGCGGAATGAGAGCTGGCTCTCAGCAGACGCGCCGACATCACAACCTATTCATGTTCACAAGCTCATTCTCCAAGCGCGTTGGCCACACTTTGCACGTCTTTACAACGCCCAGATGGCTGAGTTTCACACCAAAAAGATGCACATCCCCGAGCCTTACAGTGTAGTCAAGGCCTTCCTCTACTACCTATACACAGATAGCATCCGTGGTACCTCAGACAACGATAGTGACGCAACCACGGCGCTCTCTGATGTGGCTGGCCTTCTGGTAATGTCCAACATCTACAATATCCCTCATCTTCGCCTGCTCTGTGTCAACAGACTTGCCAAAGAACTCGATGTCGACCATGCTTGTATCATATGGTACTGTGCAGGGCTCGCTAATGAAGAGTGGTTGCGCAAGCGTGCCGCAGGATTCTGTATGACTCACTGGGGACGTATCGTCCGGACCCAGGGCTTCCTCCGTTTGCCGCGCACTGCACTCGTCGAGCTTTCGCAAGAAATCGACATGGAAGGACGTATCATCGGCGGAGAAGAACTCGAATGGGGTGGCATGAACGATAACATGGGACACGATGCTCGTAAGGGGAGCATAAGCAGTAACCAAACCCACATGATCGAGTCTGAAGCCGATGACGACGATGGCATGGAGATGACATGAAGTAGTTAACATGTACAATTGCTGTTATCTTGGTGGCTGGCCCACGGATTCTGATTTTGTACAATGCGAATCTCGGCAACTTCATACTCGCAAAGTCACCGATTTGCTCGATGCCAGAAGGCACCTGCCCTCTTTCTGGTCCTGCTTTCACTACCTACATCAAGTCCACCTGGCCTTCTGCTTCACATTCGGCTGCAGGATGGCCGGTAAGAAACATAGTGGCACTTCGGGAAATGTTCCCTAAGTATAGGGCCGCATATTATGCACCTGCATTGTGCAGTGCCTATATTATAGAGCTTCTGTCCATTGGGACGTAGACGACTGTTGCCTCCTATTCTTTGTTCAAGTTGGCCTGTTACGCATTGCGAGGCGTTTTGTATCTGCACAGCGAACTACTAAGTTATGAGCCTATGGTCTTGTAAACTCAGATAGATATGTCGAATACACGATACCCTTTGGCCCTGTTCACCCCGTCTGATCTCGACTCATAGATTTGTCTCCCCGGCCCTCACCTCTTCCAGAGATCAAGCGCGGCAACCTTTCGGTGTCCACTAAGTACGTCTGACGACTTCAACCGGTTGATAGTTCTTGTTTCAATCCAGGCCGTGATGCTCATGCTCTAGAAAGGAATCACTTGTCTGGTCAAGGCACTATTGCAGCAAAGAGTAATTAGAACCATCTACTAGCAGCATCAGCATGTCCTTGATTTCTTCAACTAAGTTAGTATTCGATCGCATCTTAAATTTGGTGCTGGAATCTCAAAAACAATACTATTCACTTCAAGGGCACGCGAAGCTGTCCAGTCTATAACCTCGCTTTTCATTGTTCGACCGACTCCAACCATCCTCGCTTTTAATATAATTTCAGCACAAGATGATGGTAATTGCTTTACCAACAATAGTCAACTGAACAACAGTAGTAGCCAACAACAAATGTGTTCATGCATCGCCGTCTCAAACAAAACAAAAAGGAAGACCGCCCAAATTTCCAGGGCACTATGCAAATGCCATCTTCCCCAACCTAACATCTAAGGGCCCCTTACCAACTTTTAATAATAATACCAGAAAGCAATGAAAAGAAGAAGAAAATTACCCATTTCCACGTGCCAGGCCAGCCAGCATATCAGCACAGGCGTCTGAGTCGAATTAGACGTCGAGTATCAATAGATCCAGCTAACGCGTACCCAACCACGAGACTTTCCAATACATGGTATGTCTTTCTTAAGTGATGAAACAGTTGCAGAAACTAGGGACAAGCCCTGAACTTTTGCACGCGGTTGGATGAAGAGTTAGAAAAGTGGTGTGCCTTTCCCCAGTGGTTGAGTTGACGCCGTCTCATTACGGATCGTTAACGCCGAAGTAAGATGTTGAAAAGTTCGGGCACAAGACAGAATGCAGTGTCTAGGAGGGGTATTGGCGACAAAGAGATACTGATAGTGCATATAGGCTCAATACGGTGTGCCGGAAAGAGTCGAGAGTTCGTACCAGATTGCACTAGATTCATCTGGAATCCTAGGCGTCACTCGGAAATGTAGTAGTTTCACTTCCTTTGGCGGTCTCATTCAAAGTCTTGTCATCGTGCTGTACTATTGCATCATTTGATCTTCTCCTATTCCCGGCAAGTTCATACCTGCTGCAAGAGCCTGAAGCTTGAAGTCAGGATTGCAGGGAAGGGAATGAGCCTTATGCTGTCGGAAAATGTTAGCATGTAATGGACTTTAAAAGCTAGGATATCGTGAGGAGACCTACGTATTTCAGTCCATT